CCTCGATTCCTCAACGGAACAAATATTACAATTTTCTTCTACCTGTATGCAATAGATAAGTTCAATCAGAATTTTAGGAGTGGATAAATAAGATTCAAGTTAGAGATTATGTCCACTAGAACTTACTGATGGATTGACTCTCAGCACTGAATTAATGATCTTCATGTTTTCTCCTATCAGGTTTGGATGCAATGCTTGCCATATTTGGATATTTGTCGTCAAGTTTGTAAGATAAACAGCAAAAAGTTTGTCCATGTCCGGCATATCAAACACGATGGGCTTCGAAGAAATGACTGAAATTCTAGTGGAATCGTCGTCATCCTTGATGCCGTAAAGTACAGCTAAACTGTAAGGCCATCTACTCGTGTTCGAATCTTCAATATATTTTGGTCTTACATCTGTCAAGGCAATTAAATCTCCAACCTCTGGTTCATATACTCTTTTGTTTTCCTCACTTCCACTCAATCTTTTCAATGTCATGGTATAGAACAAATCTTTGGGAGGTCTGAAATCTTTGTTAGGGTTGACATCAAATATTTCGCGTGCAGGTGGACAACTCTTAAGAGTAAAACTTGACCGCAGACTAGCATGTGTTTCTTCTATAAGAGGGTAGTTGAATGACCGTAGATAGTGTTTTGCTGAATAGAATGTCTCCGGAATTGGCTCGACCTGTCAAGATAAAATGTTTGAAGCCATTCAAGTGTTGGGTCATTGGCAACCATATTACAGATTATGCAATAATAAATAAAATGAAATTATGTCCAACCAACTTAGCGTTGGAAATTGGTTATTTAGTAAGTTGGTTTTGGCTAGCTTTGATCAATTATATAAAATGGGACAAGAAATAAGTATATAAATATTTATTTATTTGCTTATTACTTCTCAAATTACATCAAGTAGTGTGGTATATCGTGTCCCGCGTAAAGTCTTCTAGACTATGAATGTACTTTCACATACAAATATGAACTTTCTAACAAAATTCAGTCCCTGTTTGGTGTCATTTTTTTGGAAAAACATTGTTTTGATCATTTGTTCCTAATTTTTCTAACACGTAGATTTTTAGTAGTATGTGAAAAAGAGTACAAATTATCTCACGCCTCTCCCACACCTAAAACTGTCCCCTGAAAGACATTTGTATAGGAGGAATTGTGAGTGAGCTAACACATGAAAACCCTAATACCTACGGAGAATTCATCTCTGCCATCCATCTAACATATTGCGTTCTTTGTCTTTTGAGATTCTTTGTGCAATTGCGATCATTGTCAAAGAAATCTAACGTGAAGACAACGGTTAAGTCAGACATTAGAGGTATGATTTCGACTATCTACTCATGCTACAATTAGAAAACAAATTTACGATTTTGAAAGATATATTAATTCGTTATCTTTGAATAAATCGTGTATACTATTTGTATTAGAAAATAAGAGTTTAAGAAAATGAAAAAAGGAGAGGGTTGCAGCTTTGTTTGGAATAAGGACATTTCTTCCTTGTTCATCACATCATCTATAGACCAAGAAAACACCACATCTATCAATCCTCGACCTTCAATTCCTTCTATCTTCTTCGCCACAGTGCCCATCATTTCTCCCTGTAATCTAAAACAAATGTCAAAAAACTCTCATTATCATGCTTGAATTTATGCCAGGTGTGAGCCGGGTTACTTTGCCTTTAAGTTATCATGCGCCATTGGAGACTGGGTAAAGTTTAAAAGAAAAAAGATAATGAACTACAAACAGCAAAAGGTGTACGAAATTTGTAATGCTAATGAAGCAAAGAAAAGAAAAGAAGAGAGCAATTTATTCAACAAGTAAAGCAAGAGGAATCAGGTTGACGAAGACTTCGTGGGTCAAGTAGCTTTAAGGACCAAAAATATAATGACAGAGCTTCTCAATAATGCATTGAATAGTGTCTGTCGAATAGTGTACAAAGAAGAAAAATAAGTAAAATCTTGTTCCGTCCAAGTTAACTAGCAAAATTAAGTAGATTGTAAACAATGCGATGGAGAAGATAAACAACATTTCAATGGAGAAAGATAAGTAATTATCATAGGAAAGGATTTTTACGAAATCAATTTGCAGAGGAACTGAGAAAAACAGCAGTACAGAGAGTATAATTTTAAACTTTTTTTTTTAAAAAATATGGTGTAGTATTGAAATCATTGTTTTTGCTTAAAGAATTTTTTCCCCCTCTTTTAGTTTGCACAAAATAATTACATCTCCATAATATTTTTGTTTACCATAAATTCATCCAAAATTTGTAGTAGAAACCGAAGGTTAAAACGAAATCAACCTGTAGAATATTGGTTTTGGGTGAGTAGACGACAATTTGGTTAAATTTTGCATGGCTGTTATGGGTGGAGCCTTACTAATGGAACTTTTACTTTTATAGCTTTTTCGAAAGGGAATGCTGGGTGTACCCACCTTCTGTGAGAGGGTGTAGGGGTTCTATGTGAACCCCTAGTATTGTACACCCAGTGTGAACCCCTAGTATTGTACACCCAGTATTTTCCTTTTAAAAAAGACTCGTGACCAAAACGTTGAGGATTATTTGGTTGTCGACAAAAAAATATTGTGAACATTAAATTTACGATTTGGCTGTATATCTTTAAAAATACTTTTATTTATTATACATATAATTACTTGACTAAACATTATTTCTTTATTACATAAAATCTGTAAAATTAAATATTTTAATAGTATAATTCATATAATTTAAAATTTATTTGTTTAAGAAATTAAAATATTGTACATTAATAAATGATTGTATCATTTTAAATTCATCTTTTTTTACTTCAATTTAAATTTCATTTCTAAAATATATTATTGGACATTAACAAATGAATAATAATAATAATAAATAAAATATAGAAGTAAAAGATGTCATATTAATCATTCAAACCAAATATTCAAATTATATAAACAGTGATGAGTGAGAAAATTGGATATATTTGATTTTTACTACAAACTAATAAGATAATTATTGAAGATTTCAGCTTTCCATAAAACTGAATTTATTACTTTTTGGAGAAGTACTAAGCCATGTTTAGTGGCCTTTAATTTGAAAAAAAAAAAAATTATATTTTTAATGTTAGTTTTTGGAGGATGTGTGGTTAGAAAATAGAAAAAATATTTGAGTTTACGTGTAAAATATTTTATTGGGTGAATGCATAGTTAAAAATTAGTATGGGAATTATATTAAATTAAAGTAAAGATAATCAAACATGAGCTAAATTAGAGCTTCTCCAAAAAACCTTTAAAAGCTTTTTTTTTGTTTGTTAATAAGCACTTATTTGAATTTCATTCAACTAGAGAGGAAACGGTGGTAGATGCCCGGTTGACCTGATCACTTTTTCACAATTTCCTTTGACCAGATTTAAGTAAAAAAAAAAAAAAAGAGTAAAAAATTTAAAGGAATGAGATACCTATTTTACCTCTATTTTGAACGTTGAAAATTTGAAAATCTTATCATTTCTTGTTCTTCAAGGTATTTTCATCCATCTCCATATTCAGGGTTTCTTCATATTATTTGGTTAAATTCGAATTTTTTTTGCTTATAATATTGATGGATGATGTGTTTTTAACTTTAATATTCAAATATTTAAACAAAAAATCTTTTATCATGTTTAAAAATCCAAATTTTTAAAGAAATCACAACATATTTGTTATATGTTAACGAGGTCCGAGGGGTCCGGGATTCGGGGGTTTGGAGTTCGAGGGGGTCCGGGAGGAGAAATCCCGCTTTTTAGATTTGAATTGAAGGGTGTGTTTTGTCTTTTAATGTTAAAAAGGTCATTGTGGTGAATAATTAGTAAGTTAGGCTTATGTGTTGAATATAGTGTTTGACATAGCCATTTCAAAAACGCAGCCATAGCCAACCAAGCACAATTCCCTCTTTTCTTACATTCTTTCTACATATTCATTTTCAACAACACAGTCACAATAAAATATTATATATATAAATTCAAATTTTTCCTTACTTTTCAACTATACATTCTCAAAAAATTTACTCTTCAAAACTTTG